AATGAAATTTGGTGAGGAATTCCCAAACATTTTGGAGAACACAACACATGCAACACAGATCAGTGTTCATTTTCACATTGTTCTTGGAGCTGAGTTGTAAAGAACAAAGGACTGCTTGGAAACATTTTGTACCTGAAGAAATGGGAGAGATTTACTGCAAAATGCACTGGCCACAATCTACATGGTCTGCAGACTCCTTCCTCTGGGGCTCTGGTACCCAACCATGGAAAATACAATGGATGGGCAATAGTTTTAGCATAGACGCAGCTGATAATAAAATCTGTTGTCCATATGGCAGATGAAGTTTCCAAGAGTAACATGTATGAAAAAGGAATGAAAACTCTATTCCCACCAACAGATCATGTAATAACTCTGATACACTGAGCAAATCTCTGTTGTTCTTTTGCAACTCTGTGCAGCCATTAATTAGCTTTCATTGGAAATGACAGAAATGTGTGGCTGGAAGGAGCCTTGAGATTGTCTAGTGCATCTGCTGCCCTAAGGCAGGATCAAAGATGTCTAGATTACAGTTGATGAGTGTTTGTTGAACCTGGTTTCCAACCTCTGTTACGCTTCAGTGCTTCCTTATCCCTGGAGTTTTAACTCATCTCTGTCCTAAATTGTCCTGACTGTAAATTAGAACAGTAACATCCAGGCATCTTTAAACTTTGACATATGCTACTGGCCAAGTCACGCAAATACTTATTAGCCAATTTATTCTTTGCACAAGACACAGTGTTTGGGAGTGTCTCCCTGGTCATAAAATATAATTATTGTAGATGTACTCATGACCAAGAACTTATTACTACACTAATCACGCTACCCAAAACACTGTGGGTATTGTTAGCTACTGAGCTACTTCAACAAATTATGGACTTGGAAACGTGAAACGCCCTTCAGGGCTGCTCAGCCCTGTAGAGCATTGTATAATTTTCACAATTCTGAGAAGAAAGGTATTGCTTTTGGCCATCAGACTGGATGTTAAAGGTAATTGTTCTTCCTCATTCCCATGACCATCCTTGTGGTATGATTTCCATAGCTAGTCAAATTATGCCGTTGCTCAGTAGTCTAATATGTTATTAGCATAAAAGTTAGTGTGGGGATGTTCTTGCCAGTCCTTACAGCTAGTGAAATCTGAGGTATTGTGGTCCAGAAGAGGAGTGTAAGTGATAGCCAATATTGTGCACACATTGTTAGTGACCGAGTTTCTGAAAACAAAATAAGATTTGGAAATACCCTTCCCAAGCTGCCAAGCCCTGTGAGGAACTGGCAGGTCTACAATTTGAAAACACAGGGTCAAATTTTCAGCCAATGTAAACTGATTCAGCTCCAGAGGAGGTGTGAAAAGAAAATTTGTTCCCATGGAAAAAGGGTCTTCTTCAGGCCATGGAATAATATGGATGTGCAAATGGTATGTTTACCCCATCCTGCCATGGAATTTGTATAATATATCATTTCATCATTCTGCAATTCAAATTCCCTATCTCCATGCCCGGGGTAACCAAGGACTACTGAACTGTCCTGAAAATGAAGTTCTCTACATCTCTCCCCATTTCTGCTTTCTCTCAGTTGCACTGATTTTTTCCATTGATAAAGTTGTTGCTTTCATATTATCCTGGATAATATTTGACAGCTTCTTCATTTCTGGCCTGCCTGAAACCCAGATACATCACCTTGTGGATACCAGATACTTGTATCCCAGCTGGTTGTAAACATTTATGTATAATCTAATGTAGAACCTGTGACGAGTATCACTTACCAACAACCTTCATAAAACAAGATACTCTTACTACACAGAATAAGATATTAGAGAAAAGCTGACTTTAAAGCAATACGCTTCCATGAACCATTATTTCATGCAGAATACGCAAAGTAGTCCCTGCTATTTTGGTCTTGCACGCTCATTGGATGCGAACAAGAATGCCTTGACAGAACATGATGCCCAACAGCTTCGGTAGTTGAGCTGGGACACCCGTGTGAAATCTATTCACACACAGAAGTGTCTCACAGTGTTCCAGATGAAGGCAGGTATCTGACTACAAAATGCTGATGAAGGGACATTAAAGGTGTCTGGGAAATCATGACACAATGCTTCCCATGCAACTACTTGTGAGCCTGTAGAACAGTGTCCCTGTGGTACAGCAGCACACACAACCTCTGCTGCTGCTGGTGGAAAGTAACATTTGACCCTTTTCCTGAATCTCCATCTTGTACAAAGTAAACTTTACCACGAAGCCACAGGAGGTAACCAGGAGCTGGAACGCCGTCAAATTCTTGTGGGGTGACTTCAAAGCTCTGATCCTGCCAGCAAGCCTTCTCATTTGAGAGTGGGGAAAGCCTGCAACTACATGTCTTCATTCGCAGAGCTGCAGCTTACTATATATTTAAGACGTGGTTCATTTTTTCCCCCTGTATTTGGAAACCAGCTGCAGGATGTGCTCATAAATATATTCTCCCTTTGTCTGCCTTTGTGCTACATGGAGAAACGCAACAGTGTGGGTTCATTTCTAATTTGAGACTTCATGATGGCCCTTTTTCCTTACTGGTAGGCATAGGTGTCTGAGCAACTCAGCTGGAGACTTGGAGCTGAATTCTGTTCTCAGGCATGGGTGTAAATCTATCATAACTCCCCCGATATCATTTCACTGGTATTTTAATAGCTTATAAATGCACACTGTAAGTGCAGAAAATCGTATAGGCAGAAGAGACCAGAATTAGACCCAATTTAATTTTGTGGTACAGCTCCATTCTCTCTGTCCCAGTTGTGAATCTCAACAATCAGGACTGCAGGTTTCCAAACTTTCGGCTTACTAACATTCACTAAAACCTACATGTACTGCAGTACTTCACTCACTCTTGTACAGACGGAAAATGAGCTTTGCTATGCAGAAGCAAATGGAGGATATGGTACTTTAGAGGGACTTTCATCCATTATGAAATTCTGGATTGAGAAAGCCTTTCCCCTCAGTGGTCACCCCTCTATCGTTTAGTAAGATAATTTCCCACTCATCAGGCAGAGGGCTGTAGAACTGGCAGGATGAGAGATTACAAACTTAGCACGGTCTTGCTCCAAGACCAAACATCTTACGGTCTTGAAGGAGTGTGGTTTTTCAGGCACGTGTCAAATCCCAGAGCTTTGGGGAAGAGTTTTCTTTGAAAGGTTTCCCAGTGATAATAAAAAAAACCCCACCTTTTGCATCCATTATTATTATTAGAATGGCAAGTCAGACAAATGCAGGTGGAGGACATTTAAGTTCCTGGTGGTGGTAAATTACACCTCACTATGCTTTTAGTTCATGAATGAAATACAACAGGCAAGAGACAAGACACGTGGCAAGATGTTCAAAAGCGTTGAGGACCTAAGGCATCTTTCAAATCAGCATTCAAAAAGCCAGACCAATTAAATGCTTTGAATACCTCTATTGCTGCCACACTATATGGTTCAGGAAACTACTACAGTTTAACAGGACTGCTACAGTTAAAATTACGTCTAAGCTATAATTCATTGTTATTGTATTATTCATTGTATCAAGCTTTGGAAAACCCCACGCACTCATGGCATGCAATGGGTCAGACCATGTGTCTACAGATGATGCTTGCAGCAGGAGAGAAAAAAGAGAAGAAAGCAATATTCAGCTTTCCCCAGAAACAACACACAGGCATGGCACAGCTGAGAACAAAGGAGGTGCAGCCAGCTTTTTGTTGTCAGACAACACACCACTGCAGGGTTTTTGGGTTCCTCCTGAAACCTGCCCAGGCTTTGTCAGACAGACAGCTGGCATCATTGTGAAGGTGTTCGTGGCTTGGACTTGCACGGCAGGGAAATGGAACTGCTCTGGTGCCCTTAGGGACCCCTTATGGCACAACACTGATGAGCCTGCACTCCCTCAGGAGGTGCTGCATCACACTGCAAAGGCTCTCTGCCAAATCACAGCCAGGCAAAGACCATAACCCTTCCAGGGCCCACCAGAGAGGAGAAGGCCTTCTCTCCCCTGTGCTGAATGGGAAGACCAGCTACCTATGCCCAGGGATAGTTTTTGTGTCTCTACCCCTGTGGGAAGGGCTCTTGTCACTTCAAAGGTCCTTCCCAAAGGGAAGGGCTGGAGAGGCTACCTGAGGAGAAGAGTGAGGGACAAATGCAGCTACATATCTCCATGCCCAACATCTGTGTGGAGCTGCACTCAGGGCATGAACACCACCTGTGGGTTTCACTGCCATCGTGGCAGCCAAGAGCCTCCCTTCATGGTGGTGTTAATGCGCTGGAGATTGGGTTGCTGGAGACATGGGAGGAAAGCAGGGGGTTCCGCACTGAGCTGTCTCTGTCTCTGGGAGCTGGCAGCTGGGAAGAAAGGTCTGCAACACCTTCTGGAGGCTGGCCCCACCACCAACCTTGCTGTACAGCTGAAGAGGGGAGGCATCATTTTAGACTTCTTATTTATACAGCACTTCACCCAACTGTTTAGACAACCCGACTCCAATGAGCGTTTTCATGGCTAAGAATGAAATAAGAATTAAATAAGCTCCATTAGCATTGTTCTCTTGTTTGAGAAGAGCTCTAAACAGGAAAGGCCCATTATAATTTTTTTCAGTAGTCTTGCCTAAGCAGCTTGGTGTTTTTTCTTGGGATCAAGATTATGGATGTCAGGAAATGCTGGTGATACTTGATAGCAACATGTTTTTATGCCTTACTCCTTTCTACTACAGTATTGTGCTCTCTTTGGGAAGAAGGAAGTAGAACCTGCTCTACCCTTAGGGGGAACAACATTGGCCAAATGCACTTGTGGGGCCAAGGGGCATGCAAAGACCCACAAACACATCTGGGCTTCCTGACCATCCAAAGTCACACACTTGTCTCCCTCCTTTCCTGTAATTTCCACCTTGAAAAAGGATCATCCTGTTTAAGTCTGGCAACACTTTACGCAGCAAAGCAATGGGGTATCTTCTGCACGTCCACACAGGTTTCAGAGTTTGATGAGAACAGGGCTGAACTCTGCTTTTACCGTGCTTTTGGATGAAGTGCTGCCATTTAGCAGGTAAGTCTCCCTTGCCCTCCTTCGCTTCATGCTACGGTTCAATGTTATCACACAGTTCAGATACTATCTCACCTTTCCAGTGGTGCTCCTGGTTCCTGGACTTGCCATGCTCAGCACCTCATGAATATGAGGCACCTGTGATATAAATGCAGTATAAATCTATGTAAATAGATTAACGAAGACACAAAGAACACATTGAGGCTGCACTGGAGCCTCACAGACACTGCAAGTCAGATGCAAAGGAGAGCTTTGAGACCCGTAGCTGCCACCTCTTTCAGTTTGCTGTTTGTGAAGAACATGGCCTGGGCTGCCAGAAGGCTCCTGCCTCTTTTCCATTTCCAAATGTAAGCCTCTAATAGCAGATCCCAGGAAAAGGGAAAGGAACTCACCTTTTCCATCTCTTCGGCTGTGTTGCCTCTGGCACCCAGCCGGACCATGCTCAGGGCAGCTGAGATGCTCAGTGGGCAGAAGAAGGTATTTGCATTTCTTTTTACTTTGCTCAGCTCTTTGAAGAAGTCTAGGCAGAACTTGGCATTTGCTGCCCTGAGGGAGCCCATCGTGGCATGGCCAAGGCCTACAACAGGACAACTATGTAATCCATCTCACAAACGTTGCCATGGTCAGAGCACACAGTGCGGAGAGAGTTGGAAACACAGAGCCCTTCTCAGGAAACTCAGGAAACCCCAAGCACTGACTCACTCCCAGGAGAAGGTTTCAGACCACACTTAGCACTTCATAGAAAAGTGCGCCCCACACCCTGACCCAAACAACCACCTCTGGGCAAATCACCCCTTTAGTCATACTCTTGCTCTTCCCCTGTCTGCTCCAGCTAGCTCCACACTCACTTTCATGCCCATGATTTTTTTTGTAAAGGCTGTACACTGTATAAATACGGTCACGTAGTCAACATCCTGTTTTTCTTGCAAGAACTGCTACATGGTTTAGAAGCATTGGCCAACCTTCAGACACTGTGCTTCACTGAAGTATATTGTATAAAAACTTATTTTGTTTGTATATTGTGTAAAACATGAAGCACATTGTATGAAAACAACCAACAGAGAGACCAGCAAATTGGATTGCCAAGTCATAGCCAAACAACAATGTGGAAAGGCCTTCCTCTACCTCCTGAATTTCAGGTAGCAAGTTCATACATGTCCCAGCACTTCTAAGATCACTGCCTTGCCATTTATCTCCTTTTCCCTTTTAAGGGAATTACCAAATTCCCTCCTGCTATTGAGTGAACTTGTTCACTCGAGCAAAGAATTTGGCTACATACTTTCTACATCCTGGGATTGCCACTTCCATGAAATGTGGAAGTCAGCCCTGTAGGCAGAAACACCACAGCCTGCCTTTGTGCATGACTGCAACACACTTTGCTCCCCTCCAGCTTCTGTTTCCAGTACTATCTCTACCCTGAGGGAAGCTAGAGCTGAGAAAGTTACCTTCTCCTCAGAAGAACTGACTCTGACAGCTTCTTTGCTGATGGAGGGCAGTATCCTGCCCCATCTTAAATTGAAACCACTGTGTAGTCTGGCTCCCTGCCCAGTTTATTTCTGAAGAAGGAGCGTGCCTGGGAAAATCAAGGGCTGACGGACAGAGTACTAGGAGAATGGCTTTTCACGTCCCATAGCAAAGTGGGAGACACGATCCAATCCCTTCTGGTTTTTACTCTCTGAAACAAGTAGTGAAGGAAGGTGTCGTGGTTTAACCCAGCCGGCAACTAAGCACCACACAGCCGTTTGCTCACCCCACCCCCCAGTGGGATGGGGGAGAGAATCGGAAGGGTAAAAGTGAGAAAACTCATGGGTTGAGTTAAAGACAGTTTAATAGGTAAAGCAAAAGCTGCGCACACAAGCAAAGCAAAACAAGGAATTAATTCACTGTTTCCCATCGGCAGGCAGGTGTTCAGCCATCCGCAGGAAAGCATCACGCGTAACGGTGACTTGGGAAGACAAACACCATCACTCCAAACGTCCCCTCCTTCCTTCTTCTTCCCCCAGCTTTATAGGCTAAGCGTGACGTCATATGGCGTGGAATATCCCTTTGGTCAGTTGGGGTCAGCTGTCCTGGCCGTGTCCCCTCCCAACTTCTTGTGCACCCCCAGCCTACTCGCTGGTGGGGTGGTGGGGGAGGCAGAAAAGACCTTGGCTCTGTGTAAGCACTTGCTCAGCGATGGCTAAAACATCCCTGTGTTATCAACACTGTTTCCAGCACAAATCCAAAACATAGCCCCATACTAGCTACTATGAAGAAAATTAACTCTACCCCTGCCAAAACCAGCACAGAAGGAAATACATCTTTTTACCCTCCCACAGAGGAGGCACCCTGTTGATGCTGCTGCATCTCATTAGCTTGCTCTGCTGAATCATCTTAAAGATGTGGCAAGCATCTGCAGAAAGCATACAGTTACAGCAAGAGGGAAACAGAAACAAATCAGAAAATAAGATCCTGATACGCAGTGTTCAGAGAGGTGCCTCTCCCTCTCCCTGAAGTACTTACATGCATCTGATAACCTCTGTCCCGTGGGGAGCCCTGATAGTCCTGTAGCAGATGATAGAGCTGGGCCCATAACTACAAGGTGTTATTTCTTCTTTAGTCTAGGCCTTCCCAGAGAGGTGCAATGATCCAGACTGTGCCCCAGCAGCTTCTCTGCCTGAGGGCTACGTTTAGCTGGGGTTGCCTCAGCACAGGCACTTTGTCTGTCTCAGGAATCTCAGCATGTTTTTCTTCCTGTGTCAGCAAGAGCCAGAGAGCGGAGGGAGCACACGGTAGGCTTCAGCAGCACATCCCAACCTGAGTTTTGAGCATCTCCTGGACTGTGGGTCAGGAGGTGGCAGGCCTAACCAGGTGCTACAGGACCTGGTCCAGAGGGCAGAAGGAGTCCCAGTTACACAGCTTTAGGAACAGATCCTGGCACCAGGATGCTCCCATATGGCGAGAATTTTAGGGAACAGGTTTTTTCCATTGACCTCATGCAGGAAAAGGGCAAGAGGAGGTGAAGTGAAGGCACCACCAGCCCCGCCTAGAAGTGCTCAGTATGGCCAGCACTGCTGGTTATGTGCAGGGAAGAGCACTGAGCTGGAGCAGCTCCTTCGTTCAGACTGGTGCTCCTTGCCCCTCCAAGGCTGGATGTGGATTTTCCCCACGACACCACAGAGAGTTAGACACTGCAATGGGAGCACTTTCAGCTGAGGTCCTCAGCTCTGTACTCCAGCTATGGATTTGGTTTCCTAACCCCTAGGTCTAGCCCATATGTTTCAGCAGAACTGTGTGGGGAGCTTGAGGCGTTGACGGTTTTGGCTTGAAATGCATGTGGTGCTCATGAGGCTTTTGTTGAGCTCCACGGTCATTGTCAGTCTGAACCTCTGGATGGCAAAAAACAACAAGCAAAAAAGGCAGCAAGGTGGAGTTGTCCCTGTCTGGGGGCACAGGAGATACACCAAAGGCCCCTGGGTATGACTTCCAGGATCCTTCATATTCATCATCATTCATGAACAAGGAAATGGGCACCACACTGCCAAAGCACTTATTCATCTTTTGACCCTGGAGGCTGTTCTGCTCCACAAGCAGCAGTCAGCTTTTTCACAATGTTTCCCCCTGTTGTCTCAAGGCTGGTTGTGGGCCGAGCGCTGTGTTTATTTTAGGCCAACAGGCACTGTGCTCGGCACTGCTCCAGGCAGAATATTGTATTTCTCACAGAAGACCAGCAGCTGACTTCATTGAGCAAAATGCAGCTAAGCCCCCATAGAGATATCACATGATGATTGCATTAATATAATCTGAAAATACAATTTGGGGGACTTTCCCCTATTATGAAGCTCTGGATTGAGAAAGCCTTTCCCCTCAGTGGTCGCCCCTCCACCATTTAGTAAGATAATTTCTCACTCGGTAGGCTGAGGGCTGTGGAAAAGGCAGGACTGGTCATTGCTGGCCTGTGTTTGGGACTGCTTCGTACTGACAGATCGCAGGGGAGAGAAGTGACAGGCAGCAGAGCTGGCTGCGGTGGGGGTCTCTTGGAAAAGGAGCTGTCAGGGGCGCAAGCGGAGGCAGAGCTGCGGCTGATGCTGCGAGGTTGCAGGCTGCAACAAGTGCTGTGCCAAAAGCTAAGCTGCCTCGTGAGGCATTGTGCAAGAAAAGAAGACATCCATCAGGATATGCAATAGAGGTCCTTCAGTGGTGCTTTTCCATCGTGTTTAAAACTGTCAGTAAGGGTATGGAAAAGCTAGACCCTGTTTCCAAACTGTAGCAGTCAAGTGAGGGAGTAATGCGAAACAATCTTGGAGCTGTGTACGTGGCAGTGCTCTTATACAAAAGCTGTGACACACCATCTCATAATTAAGAATCTATAATTTCACCTGTGAGGATTCAGATGAAAAGGTGCACAGCAGCACCATCTGAAGAGCTGAAAGGAAGCTCACAACTGAAGTACTTTATTCACTATTTTCTTTTGTAGGCAGATATTAAGAAAGTAAGGAAAAATTCATGCTATCAGAAAGATATAGACCAAAATACTTCTATATCGTTGTTGTTATTAGGATACCCGCGCACATATAAGTACTTTTTTTCTGTGTTACTGGATTAAAACAAGAATAGTCCTGGGAGCAGAGACTGGAAACCACAACCCATCTACAATGCAGTTATTGAACTGCAAAGTTATCAGTCCTTGAGTTCTCTTCTTGTGTCATTAAGCTGCATTCATTCCAGTAAGGGCTTCAAAAGGAAGATGGGCAGTTTTCCCACCCAGCCTATGCTGAAACCTAGTGCCTGATAGTGCTTGGTGCACTCTCCTGGGAGACGCAGGCTTGAATTCCAGCGAGGGTATGGGATACACTGAAGACAGGCCCTTCGCCTCCTGAGCCACATGAATTTCTCCACTACAGAAGTTATGTACCATTTGCACTTAAAAAAATGAAGTCACTCTAATGGCATTTTCAGGGAGCCCTGTTTGAATAGCTTGTGCAAGGTCTGCTTTGAATGCATTCACTAGATGTTCTCCGAGGACTTGCGCCTCGTTCCACCTCGTTCCTGAATTTCAGCATGGGCAAAGCGCCTCATTGCTCACATCAAGGCAGTTCAGAGCAAGCAAAGAAAAATGCTAGCTGCTAGAGAATTTACAAAAGGTGAAAATAAAAAGCCTACAAATTTTGGATACTTCCACATGCATAGGAAAGGACAATTTTTCTTTCAGATGGCTTTTTGGATGTACACTCTTAAAGCCAGCCTATGTTCTGTTTAGGAAAGCCACATCACTATTTTAGTGTTGCTTGTCCTTTCTGAAGCCATCTATAATTCTGTGCATTAAACATGTTATTCACTGATTCTCCATTACATAGACACAGAAAAATGAAGTTGGAAGTGTGACTTCTGAATCTGGTTTTCATAAAGCCTATGAATACTATGATGTAGTACCCCCCTAGAAGTGCTTATAATTCCATACAGAAAATGAGCGTACTTTACCAAGAAAATAAAATCAAGGATTTACTAAGAGACAATTTTTAAATAAATATGGAAATTAAAAGTCTAGATTATCCTGCTGCTGTCACTGTGTGACTGACTG